TTTGGACATTCCATATAAAAATCAGAGCTGCATCACTTTGGCAGGACTGCCGGCATGTCCCTGCCTTGCTGAGGATGGGAGAAAAGGGGGCCGCTCCCCAGAATGCCCACAGTGCTTCCTCCTGCCACTGCTGGTCGCAGACGAGGAGGTGAACCCCAGCTGGTGGCTCCTGGGGTAACAGGAGGGCTGCAGAGAAAAGCTTGCTCATCATTTTTCTCACCTCGTTCAGCCGCTGCCTTGTTGGTGAGGTTGGTACCACCCACCAAAATAGTCTAAAAAGGCCTCCTAGGGTGTCTGGCTCCCATCTGCCAGAAGCAGAAGGCGATGCGTGCAGCTCTAATGGCTTGGAACACCCAGCAGGTACGAGCATCCTCAGCATCCTGCAGAACACGCTTCCAGGATCAGCAGCCTTTGCTGGCACCCAAAACAGGCTCCCCCAGGCCCCCAGCCCTGGCCACGGCCCCTTGGCTGTGATCTTCATACAACAGCTTCCAGCTGCAGCTTCAACCAAAAGGCAGCCAAGGCACAGGGACCACAAACCAGCATGGTTGTGCCCCTGGCAATGGATTTTGAGCTGTTTATGGCAAAGACTTTCAGGCTTGGCTAGGTTTTTTTTTTTTTCCTCCTACCGAGACATCTCTGAGCTAAATGAACGCGGTGTTTAACTGCTGCTCTCCCACTGCGGACTAGCAGCAATGTGCAGATTTACTTGCCGGCTGGCGCAGGGCAAAACATCCCAGTTTGCCAGCCGCATCCTGGGAAAGCGGCTGCAGAGCTGAAGCACAGCCAGAGGTCCATGGGAGCAGAGGGAGGCATCTTACCTGCTCCAAACCAGCAGCAGCAGGCAAGAAAGCAGAGGTATCTTGATGCAGACGCTATAGCTTTTTAATAAAAGCATCCTCCCTAGACGGCTGTCGCTGCAAACACTGCCAGGACTGCAGTGGGCTGGCCTGAACCAGCTCAACAGCCAGAGAATTGCTAAGGGAAGGAAGCAAGTTGCAGCTTTTTTTTTTTTCACTACATCTTTTTTTAAAAAATCATCTAATTTTACTTCTCTGACAACAACCACATCCTAAGTTCCTCCTGGCCTTGAGCTAAACTAAGTGAAAAAACCAAACCCAACTCTGTTCCCTACATCCATTCATTCAAGATCTTCCCTTTGCAGGTTCTCCCTCCTTGTGCTGAGGGCCACGCAGTCTCCAGGACCATCGCCCACCCGGGCTCTGGCATCCACCCCCTGCCCATGTTGAGTGGGCAAAGCCAAGCAACAGAGCTGGGCTGACTCAGCTGGGTACCTAAGAGAGGGCAATGGGGGTATCCACCTCCCCACGGCCCCACCAGTGCCTCCCCCAGCACACCAGATGGTCCCTCCACTGCATGGACGTCCCCAAGCCCGCACCCTTTCTCCTCAGAGCAAGTGGCCGAGGAGCAGCAAGCTGCTGCAGCAGTGTTTGGATGTTAACGGCACGGTCGCTGGCCCGCAGGAGGGGGGATTTTTTTGCCAGCGCTTGGCTGAACCCCTGCGCACAGGCTGTGGGCTGGAGAACCTGCGGGGATGCTGCGAGAGGTCAAAAAAAGAGTGGATTTGCAGTAGGGACAAGACCCAGCTGGGCAGCAGAACTATGAGAAAGTGCAGGCACTGAGGGGGAGTGGTGGGACACATGCCCAGCACAGAAGCCGCTTCCTTCAGCCCCACAGCATCACTCCCTTAACCACAAACATACAAAACTAAGGGAGAAGTCCCCTGTCCCCCCATCCTTTATAAGTAATCAGTCTTCCTGCCCCTGCCAGCAGCTGGCTCCTAGTGGGTGCGGGGCTGAGACTCAAGCCAGCAGAGGAGAGGTTTCTACCCAGCTGCTTAACCCGCTCCGTGAGGCTCAGGGCAAGAGCCATCTGGATCCTTCCCAGCTCCCCAGCCTTTCCAGCCATGGAAAATATCTTCCCAGGAATGCGAGACACAAGCCCGATAAGCACATGTTTTAAAACAAGATGGAGATAGGTTTTAAAGCTGTCCTTCGGTTGGGGCTGTGTTTAAGCAGCAGCTGGGTCATTTGTTATGATGAGGGATTTTTAATCATTTCATTAACTCCAGAGCTGTAGCGTTACGGCAGTATGAAGTCTTGCCTTCTCAAATCACTTCAGCTTTTCAGCCCCAGAAAACAGCTGCTTGAAATGAAGAGGGGCCAGAAGAGGAGGAATTGGGTTATGATGAAATTCACTGACTTCATTTCCACCTCAGAGTTGGACCACAGACCATAGACAAGTGCCTTTACCAGCCCCGGGCCTCCTGCCTAACAGCGTCTCCCAACACAAGGAGCTGGATTCTGACATCCACTCGCCCTGCCCACTCAGGCAGCTACCACATGGAGACAAGCATGAGATCGACAGGAGCGTGCAACCCACTGGTCAGGCATGTCTGCACACACCAATTAAATACCCCAGTTAGCCCAGAGCACAGACGGGATGGCACGCAGTTTGCCATAAGCCACTCAACCCAACAGCAAGACTGTGCTCACCATGCTTTTGAGCACCTGCTTCTCAAAGCAGCACAGAATCACAGAATGGCAGGGGTTGGAAGGGACCTCTGTGGGTCATCTAGTCCAACCCGCCTGCAAAAGCGGGGTCACCTACAGAAGGCTGCACAGGACCACCTCCAGGTGGGTCTTGAATATATCCAGA